CAACAACCATAAAAAAAGAAATAGTATCAATTAAACTTTCAACTATGATATTTTTATGCAATAAAACATAAGTACTACAACGTTATTTAGTTTCGATGGGATTAGAACTTTAAAACTGATGTTTAAAAATTTATTTCCCTTTTTTCCAGAAGAAATTAGCTCAAGAATATGAAATTGGTGAAAATAAATATTTTTTCCAAATTATTAATAGATTTCTGTCTTTAAGGTTAGTTGCCTTCATTACCAACTGAATACTAAACATTACTGAATGATGCTTTCGGATTCATAGTTGAAGACTGACATGTACATACCTCTGCGTATTTTGGCCCTGCACTTTCCTGTATCCTGGGTAGAGATAATGAAGAAGGTTCCCCAATTTTCATATGTCCATGCCTTCTTTTCTCTTCTTTTGACATGAAATCCATTGAGAAGGATGAATGTGTAGGAGGAAAGCTACTTTCAAACCCTATATGGTAGTTGTAATTTTCATTTTCTAATTGTCGCTGTCGATTAATTTTATCCAAACTAGTAGGTGATGGAGCTAACAGATTGAATGTTCTAGAATCATCAGAACCAGGATATTCCCCCCTGGGGTTTTCCCAGGAGCATTCTTTAGTCACATTTTGAGGTAACACAGAGGGCCTAAAACCAATTACTGGTGTTTTCGTACCTTGATGCCAGCAGAGTTCAGGGCTTTTAGAAGTGAATGTATTCAAGGATGAATGGTGTGTTTCATCTAATGAATGACTTTCTGAATCCATAGTGGGTGCGGCAGATACAGAAAAGGTGTTTTCTTCAATTCCACGTTCATAGAGTGGAGTTTTGTCACTGATCTCAACTACGAGCTGATCAAAACCCAGACTGACTTGGCTCGAAGAAAGCGGTTGTTGTACAGACCGAAATTCTTGATGCTCATACTGCTTTTCATCTGATTCATCAGGATTTGGATCTGTTTGCCAATAATATGCCATTTTAAAAAAATTTTTATGTCACTGAGAGAGTTGACTCTGCTCCAAATATCTCCTTGATGATATTGTAAATGAAGATTGAAATTTTCCTAGAAACAGCATGAAAGGAAATAAAAATACCAAATTAGAAATAAAAGAGCTTGCAAGAAAGAAATCTGATGAATAAATATAAACAGTGTTTTGAAGTTTTTCTTACTAAGTGACGTAATTCCTGGAGTACCATAAAACTCACTTAGGATTCACAATATTACAAATCTGAGTGGGGAATACGGATTTGGATAGATTTGTGAAACTCCTGTGTTAGAAAAAGTCCACATCAATTATGACAAGAATGTCATGAATCTATTCAAAGTCACATCCCCACCTTTGACTCCTTTTCTTACTATACATTCACTTGCCACCTGCCTGTAGAGGGAGAACACGTCATATTTCCCCTCTGTATTCAGTCATCTATGAGAATGTGGGCATGTTAACATTCTTTTTTCTAAGTAGATATACAGTCTCTTCTTGAGTAGCAATTATCCTATTCCTAGACCTAATTTCAACTTCTTTTTACCCTCCATAACCAGTCATCTTAAAATAGTTGGGTAGATTTTTTCCTTTCCTCCCCAAAACTCTTTAAATAGTAACTTCTTGATCCACTTCTCAAAAATTACTGTTAAGTACAAGTTTCATGTAAATGAATTAAATCGACATTTTTGAGCTTTTTTTTTGAAGATGTCTCTCCACATCTGTTGATGTCATTCACCATTCTTCTTACTTTAACATTTTTTATTTCCTGACTTTGGCTTTTTATATGAAACTGTACTTTCTGATTTTCTTTCCTATGAGCTCTTTCTCAAATACTCTTTTGCCTATTATTCACTTTCCACCTCATCCTGACAGAGCTTATTTTCTTCTCCATTTTTCTCTCATTGTGAGTTATTTTAACCTCCTATTGATACAGGATTCCACCACTCAGGGCTAGACAGGGAGTCCCCCATTCTCTAGGCCCAGAACTCAGAGGTCAGACCCCCATTTCCAGGCACAAGCAGATTGCCTTCCTGTGATGGTTTTTTTGAGTGGCTCCACCTTGGGTAAAACCACAAACCCTAATCCCTTCTCAGGGACAAAAACTGTAAAGGCAATGATAACTACATTCATTCATTTGTTAATGCACCCATTTCCACCTACCAATTGCCAGCCAGGTACAATCCTCTAGACCTAATTCCTCTAGACAAAGAGTCCACACAGAGACTCTGAGAGAGTTCTTCAAGAGAGTTCTTCAGTTCTTTTCCCTTTCCAGAAGCTCTAATGCTTTTTACTTTTTCTATATTCCTTTCTAACTTCTAATAGAAGTCCTATCTTACCACTGATCTGTGGTCTGTGGGCTCATTCTTCGAATTTCCAAGACCAAGGACCTACTGAAGAGCAAAATTCTGGTATCACTATGATTTCAATTATCATCAACTTGTCAATAACTTCCATTTAGATCACTCTCCTTATTACTGAGTCAATATTTCCACTTGGTTTTATTTATTTTTCTAAATCTTCAAATGAAAATCCAAAATTTAAATCATAATGCACCCAAGAACCTAGTCCTATTCCAGTGTTCTCCATAACAAAAGACCACTCAGTTGCTCAAACCAGAAACCCTGGTTTCATCCTTGAACATTCCACGCCTTTATTCTTCTATATCCAAAAACCCACCAGTCTTGTTGGGTCAATCACATAAATACATTTAAGGTCTATCTTCTCTCTGTCTACCTTTGCCACAATCCCTGAGTTTAACACTTTCTTCTCACCTGATACATGTTGTCTCTGAGACTGCCTCTATATTTTCTGCAATCTAAACTTGCGCCCCATATGGTAACTCATTTTTTCACACTATAATGTTATATTTACCTCTCCTGTTTAAAGCTTTTCAGTGATTTCCTACTGTCCCAGGATAACATTTAAGATTATCGGAGGTTCCCATGTGACCTGGCACTACACATGCTCTGGGTTCACCTAATGTGACTCAAGTTCCTTCTCTGCCCTTCCATTCATCATCCTGGCTTTCTCTTGGCTACTCAAAGAATTTGCTTGTTCACACTTGATAGCATTTTCCAGGGTCTGATTCTGATTCTGGATAGTAATTTTACTTCTTCTTCTTC